AGAGTCTGTGGTGATGCACACAGTTAACATGTGTGACTGCTAACTCAAAGACGGAGGTTCCAGGCCACAAAGAAGCTCACTGAAAACTCTAGAGCGTTTTCTACTCTGACACATGTAAAGCTGTGACGAATCTGAATCACCTCACGTAACAACTATTCAGTGTGTCTTTCATGTGCATCCCAACATGCACAAGTAATCTCTCCTTCAACCATAAAAAAACAACTTCACTTGAGCTTTTCGCCCACTCTACCTTCTACCCCTAAGTCTTCCCTTCCTAGCACAAATAAGATTCTTAAATACATGCTCTTTACCACCAAACTGTCCCCTCACATTCCCAGTCTTCAATCCCACCTCTCTGCTAAAACTGATCTCCAAAGTATTTTTGGTCCTCATTCTGACTTCTCTATGAAATAACACTAACCGCTAACCACATAGACCTTTTCTGAAACCTACCCTTCACTGAGTCATTTTCCTATGCTGCAGCTGTCATGGCTGATTCTATGTCAAATAGAAGGAAACACCGCTCAGTCCTGTGCTGTCCTCACAACTGCAATGTTTGAACCCATTGTTGCAGCCACTGTGTCAATCCATCTCTTCAAGGGTCTTTCTCTTTTTTGTTACCTTTCTACAACAGGACATGTACTTGCTTTGTTAGTCTGGGTAGACTAGAGAAACAAATTCATACTCATGTGTGTCTAAGAAAGAGCTTTATATACAAGAGCAATTGATTATTGAGAAAACACCCCAGCGCAGTTCAGATCACAAGCCCGTATGTCCAATTCCAATCTACAACGTCCTCTTCCGACTCATGAAAGACATGCAATGACGCCAAATGCAGGAAGATCACAGGCCAGTGGGTGGGAAGTCTTGTGGATCCAGTGGTTTTGTAAGCAACTCAGCACCAGCAGGGGTCTCCATGTGTCTACTCCACCTCAGGGCACTAGAGCAGTTCCATCTGTCATGTCAGCTGCAATGTCTCCCAGGGAGTCAGTGTGTATCTTGCCTCCAGAGAGCTATTTCCTAAGCGCTTCCAAACGAGGTCATTAAGCTACTACCTGATTGACAGGTAAACTCACCCCACCCCTTCACTTGTAAGCCTCAAATTGACAATATATTATATAACTACCATACCTGCCTATT